AAAATGAATTACTATTTTGTGTTTTTCGACCACATAAGATATTGAAAAAATAAACATTTGAACAGATGTTTTGCCAGCAGCAGTAACAAAAATAATAAAAATTCAGCAACCTAAGTAAAAGGACTGGGGATAACAATAAAGAAAAGTTAAAACATTTAAAATCTTAAGCTGATTTATTTATTTTTTTTAGAGAGACAGAAACAAAAAGATCTGACTAATTTTTCCTTTGTAAAATTCTTTTCAAATAGGCTGTTTTTGGTTCTGGAAATCCTTTTTATCAGCTAGATACCAGCTACCAGACAGCAAAGTGAAAAGTGAGATCAGCACATTTTCATATTTTATGCAGAACAAGAGAACAATTAACTTAGGCTCTCTGATTTATGATGTCCCTGTTAATGTTTTATTCTAGTGCACAACCAAATACTTCATGTGTTGTCCCATTAGGTGTGGGCATGATCAGTACTAACTGACATAGCACATTACAACAAATACCATGCATAAACTTTTAATCATTCAATGTTACAGCCATCAGCTTTGGACAAATTGATATAATTATATTGTTGTGGGTTTTTTTTATACCTGTTTTTTGTTGTTGCTTTGTCCATTGTTTACTGCTCCTTGCTTCCCTTGTCCCAATGGTGGGTTTTTAAGCATACAGCTTAATAATAGTGAAAGTGTTTTCACTTTACAGAGCCAGCTTTCAAGTCTTTAAAAAATCCCTTTTAAACAGGGAGAGCACTAATGGACTGAACGTAACCTTCTGAGAAATATTTTACTGAGTCGCAGGCTGCAAGGCTGTATTTAAACCTTGCCAAATGCGTGGTAGAGTGCACGAATTAGCCTTTAGAGGTTCCTTCTAAACTTGAGGTGCATATATAAAACAATTATGCATATTTATTTGCATATTGATTTATTACCGCTGTGCACTGGTGAGAGCTTTTTAATGCATGAGAAATAACTTGTGAGTGACAGGTTGATGGACCATAAATCTATGCAGATTATAGTCTGTTGAAAGTATACTAGGGAATTAAAGTATTTCTAAAATGACTGATTTGAAGTTTATACTGTTTGACATTGAAACAAATGTCAAATAATAGGACATCTGTAGTCAAAATGTGGAAATATTATTTCTCTGCTGCTGGAGAGCATTTTTTATTGTAAAAAAACAAAACAAACTTGAAGCTGCACAATCTTTTTTTGATATATGTCTACATGTTCGGGTTATACAGCTGAGACCAAGAGTTATCAGGAATAAACTCAAATCTGTACATCGATCACAGTGCTGGAGAATTTTATGCACCTCTCATATACACCATTTAACATTTATGCAGTGATTGATTTGTTTATACTGTGCAACCAGCCGATCGGTCAACACATTTTTCTTCTGCCTGTAGGTAAAAGGGCAGAGCCCTTCCTCTTTTCCTCTTTTTGTTCATCCAGCCATCAGCCTGATGTGTGTGATCAGTGGGTAAAATGAGTGTGTAGAGTGGCAACTCCAGCCGAGTGGATAGAAAATGAAATGGAAGACTATTTTTCTTGGACAGATTTCAAAACTGAAGGGACTCAGTCACTTAATCCTCTTCTTATATCCAGACTGAAATGCCACATTTTAGGTTTAATCCTGTAAGGATACGCTCTGGTAAACTAGTGCATTAATATCTTATTTCATTGTGTTAATTTGATTTCCTTAGTGTTGTACATTTGTTTCCGTGCTTAGTTTCTAGTTTAGTAGCTGCAACTGGCTACAATGATTAACATGTGACACTCAACCTGTGTCACAAGTCATCAATTAATTCATATGCCTCAACCTATTTAACCAAACCAAAATAACATGGAATATTTGTATTGTGTTTTCTTTATCAGAAAGATTTTTTATTTGAAAGAACACCAAATTACATAGCAAAGAATATATTTATACTGAGCTTCAGTGTCTTCTCAATTTTCAGGTTTTTATAAGGCTCCCAAATCTCAAACTCACTCTTTTTATTCTAGAAACTTTTAACACCACCTATTTTCTTAACACCAAAACTGTCAGATGGCAAACAGTCTTTTTTCAACTTATGGTGTTTCCTTGTAGGGTGTTCAGATGAAAAGCCCTGGTATTTTTTTATTATTAATTATTATTAATATTAATAGAATTAGAAAATTTATGTCATTTATTTAGGGAAATTACTGTTAGTTGATAAGTTCATTGGCATCTTTAGCTTATTTATATTGTTTGCGTTCCTTTTTAGTTCTGTTTATTTGAATAAAAGAAATGTGCGCACTGAATCATACATATTGAATGTCAATATACTGACGCTGCTTGACTGGGTCGCGCTACTAGACCAGCATCTTCCGAGGACCACAGATCACCTCCTTATCGATCCCCTTCAAAGATGTTTTCTGTGATACATTTTAGGCCCCAGTGGTAACCTTAACAGAAACTATAAGTCTAAAGGGGAAAAAAACTGGGCCCCTGATAGGAGATAGTCATGTGCTACTATTACTTGATATAGCAAGGCTAAAAGGATAAGACAGTACTAAACAATCAAACTTAAAATCTACAAAGGCTCAGGTACAGCTAGACACAGAGTTACTAATAGACACTAAGTTGTATAAACTCAGTTGATTGAACATTAGATCTTTGTCAGCAAAACCTCTCATTGGAGAAGTGCTACACCAGTAAGGACTGTCGAAAAGCTGAATGCAGATGGCAAAAGTCTGGACTGCAGGTTCACCACAAGATCTATAAAGAGAGGCTTCAAAGATATAACCTACAATTCCAAGTTATAGCTGTGGTCATTGGTCATACAAAGTCTTCCTTCTCTGAGATGATCAGCAAAAACATTAACAAGTCTTATTTGTTGTCAACTACCACCAAATAAACTACAAAAACAGAATAAACCATAAACCAGCTAAGCTCTTCCTGCTGATATCTCACTGTTTTTTACCCTCAGCCTTCCTTAGGAAACTCTACTTGTCATAAAATATGATTTAACTCAAATAATAATCCATGTCCTTTTTGTCAGATGTTCCCCCCAGGCCCTAAAAACAGCAATTATCAGACTGCTGTTGAAAAAGACCATTTTGGACAAACTGCTACTGCAAAACAACAAGACCATCATAACCATCAGTAGGCTTATTGAAAAAGCTGTTTTAAACAGCTAAACGCCTTCCTAACAATGACCAATGGTTTTAATATTCTCCAGTCAGGCTGCCCTGTTCACCAAAGCCCAGATGTATTCATTGACATCCTTATACTGTAGGTGCAGGCTGTGGAAAAACTACAGTGCTGTTGATCCCTTTTTTTTATATTGGAGTGCCTTTCTGCTACCGCACGTGAATGTTTGAAATCCTACTTGATGTACAGGGAATTTTTGGTTTCAGTAGGTAACTTTAAGATCATCAGTGCAGTTTCCAAATCAATCAGTGATGCTACACGTTGTATTTGACACTGAAAGAAAGGATTGTAGCTTTAAATGGTTCATCTGGTTGATTGCATTGATTGTAAGTGAAATAATTACAACTTACTTCCTTACTTTCATAAATACTTTTGCTATGTGGATGAAGGGCTTTCTTTTTTTCTATTAGGGTCCGCCTTTGTGTTGAGCAATCTGCTTAATGTCGTGAAAAAAGCTAACGGAAGACCGTATTATTGTTTTAAATTTCCTTCTGTTGATGTCAGCAAGGAGAAATCTAGTAAATGTCCTTGTCATCTTCATCATCCAGCCAGTTTATCATTATTAAAGCTGATTTTTAAATCTGCATGATGATGGCACGTGAAATTAGGTATAGTTAAACTGGGATTTAAAGGAAAAAACAAATAGTTCTTATACTTAGCTTAGTTTTATTTATGACTGAACCTTATTGCATACAGACTATTATTATCCTGCAAAATAAACACTTTAAGCTCTAACATTTAGCTCGGTGTATTTATAGCATCATTCTGGAGGATTAAACTAGGAGCCAATGTCATATTTTATAATTGCTGTGAGAATTGCTTCTCTCAGCTTTTTGACTCCAGTATGAGCTGAGTGTGAATATTGTTGTGCTGCTTTCACTGACACAGAAAAACTCCAATCACTCTTAATACTGTGCTCATACTCCCTTATTTTTTTCATAATGCACCTTTTTTATTCCAAACACTAAGTAAATACTGCAGCCCAATGTGTGCATAATTGTAATACTCTGCCTTTCTGTTCCTTTTTAGTGGTAAATGTTTTTTTTTTTTTTACTTCATATTGATGGCTGCGTCAGCTGCAACCAGCAGCAGTGCCTTGCTGACTTTTCGTGATAGATGGCCCCAAATGTTTTAACTGCCTGCAGCGAGATCCAAACTCTTTCTGGGCAATTACTTGTTTGGCTTGCTCCCTTCTTAATGTATATATGTCAATCTTTGCCAAAGTGATGAACAAAAGCTCTCTCCATGCATGAGAGGAAAAATTCCCTCCATCTTTTGCCTACTTCACTTTGCATCCCAACTTTACTACCTGTGAGCCAAACAGTCTGTTAGAGTTCTTCAGTGCTGGATTTTTTTTTTTTTCAATGAAATTTGTTGTTCGTATTAACCGGAAGCTTGATTTAACATCTGTGTTTTAGCTTTCCTTGAAAATTAAGCCAGCATTCTTACTGGCTGGGATGCTTGGTATCCATGGCAACATGAGGTCCATTACAAGTGCCATAAAGAGCGAGCAAGAGAATGTTAAATCACCAGACTGCCAGTTCCCATCACCTCACTGGGTTGATTGTGTAACTTACACGCCCACAAGAGGATACCTTCTGTTAACCATTTTTTTTACTGCTCACTCTTACATTCTCCTTTCTGTTACATCTTCCCAGCTCTACATTCATGTCATGCTATTTCTGTTGCATATATATACATGCTATCATATTAACACCCAACCGCAACGACACATAAACCTACAGTAAGAAAGTGAGTCCAACACTGACCCCAAGTGGAAAAGCCTGACAGATTCCTGTAAGACAACCCAACTCTGAACTTCCTTTGTGTCACTTAGGTTTTTACGCGCTACGGGAAATGTTACACCTTCAATGCCGGTGGCGATGGACGACCCCCACTCATCACCACCAAAGGCGGAATGGGCAACGGGCTGGAGATCATGCTGGACATTCAGCAGGATGAATACCTGCCAGTCTGGGGAGAAACAGGTAAAAAGTCAATTTCAGTGGAGTGTTTGAAAGGCAAATGTATTAGTTTCACTGGTAATACCTTTCTTATCTATTATCTCACTCTCTCTTTATCTTTGTCCCCCTACCCAGATGAGACTTCATTTGAAGCTGGGATCAAAGTTCAGATCCACAGTCAGGAGGAGCCACCCTTCATCGACCAGCTCGGATTTGGTGTTTCACCAGGTTTTCAGACGTTTGTCTCCTGCCAGGAGCAGCGGGTACATATTCTAGAATGTGGAGCTTAGATTTTAGTTCTGTTTCTCACTTTACTCCAATTCCCGAGGCACATTCTATTCTTTAATTCATATTTTATGAAAAGTTTAAAGTTTCTCCACTGGTGTGTCATTAATAATTATACTTTATTCTGACATCTTGTAAATGGCAGCTGTTCTGTCTGTATGTGGAAAAGAACCACCCAAATAGCATAAGCTCAGGGATGATGTCATATCAAATTAAGACTGTCATATTTCATGCTTGCACCAAGTGATTTTAGAAAAGGCCTATTGGTTAAATGAAAAATGATGAAATGCCATCATTTTCATTAATAATATATGAACCCCATCAGATGCCCTGGACAAAAAATTATTAGTGGATGTATGTGGACCAAAGAGGACATTTGGTCAGCCTATACTCTATGCACCATGTTAATCACCACTGTATACGTAGGGCTCTAATAGTATGTTTGTAATTATTTTCCTTTTCATCACATTTCAGAAACTGTGATGAATTGGTCTAAATGTTTTCCAAGTGTTTGCAGGAAAGAGTTAGACAGTGTCCCTCACTTGCAATATGGACTTAGCCGTTTTGGGGCCCCAGCAAACTTTAGTCAGGGTGCCCTCCTCAAAGTCAGCCTTAAAGTCCCGGTCGGCCCCAAGTGTTACAGATTCTGTTTCCTGTCTTGATTAGATTGCAGTTCTTAAAGGCAACTAGTGCCATGAATGTGGCAGTCAATAGACTTTTGTTTGATAAAATACTAATCTGCATTTTAAGCAGCAATCATATTTTTTACCCTTTGAAATCTGGAAACGCTGTCTGGATTTTTTTTTACATTTCTTGGATGATGAGAAAAAACAAATACGCCTTATTATTTCCTGTCAGTCACTGTATGTTTGTTTTCCACAGTTATGAAGATTGTTTGACCTTTGGAAGCAAAGGCAAAATGCTGCAAAATATCTTTAGCTATTGTCTTGTTTGGATTTAATGTTTTGGTTTATATCTATACTTTTGGGTAAATAGATCTAAATTCTGAACTGATTTTGATCAGACATGTGTGAAGCCAGTCATCTTTATTTTTCATTTCTTTCTCCACAAAATAAGATTGTCTGTCAAATAAATGTACAGTTTCTAAAACAATAGATTGTAAATCATGCTCAGTCTATAACTACTATTCAATCCTCCTAATTTACAAATTTAACAAATGCTTGATTTTCCGCTTTTAAAGTTTTTATTTATTTTTTTATTTATGAAGACCTGAATTGTTTGTTTTCATTGCAGCTCATATATCTGCCCCCACCCTGGGGAGACTGTAAGGTGACACCCATGGATTCAGAATTCTTTGAAACTTACAGCATCACAGCTTGCCGCATAGACTGTGAGACTCGCTATCTATTCGACAACTGTAACTGCCGCATGGTGCACATGCCCGGTAGGACACAAACATCTGTTGTATGAGAGTTAAAGCAATCAGTGAATACTTGGATAAAGACACTTAGAGCTGTTGTTTGTGTTGCTTGTGCCTCAGGCAATGCTGATTACTGCACCCCCCAGGTGTACAAAGAATGTGCTGACCCAGCTCTTGGTAAGAAAAGTCACCTTCCTGCAGACATAGCTTAAACATAACAATTTCAAAAGAAGTTTGAATTTTATAATTTTAAAAAGCACTGAATAAAATGCATTTTTGTCATGTTATCACCAGCATGTTATTACCTCATACAGTGTTTGGATTTTATAGGACAAACTATTTTAATTTAAAGGTTTATGAGGTTTTATGTATTTAGACCTACTGTGTTAATAATTTTTAGAGCCACTTTTGCTATAATCCAACAGAAAATCTTTTGAGGTATGTCTCTATCCAAATTGCACATTTAGAGACTACATCATTTTACCAAGTTCTCCTTCAAAAATAAATATTGGTGCCATAGATTTCTGGGTGGTTTTGTTAACTCTAATCAGTTCATTTCAATAAGTGAACAAGCTTGATCTAAAAATGTTACTGTAGTTCTGGTTATAAATGTAATTTTGTTAGTTTGAAGTTTAACCACTACCTCAGTCTAAAATCTATATTGTACATCTATAATTTACAGCTTCCCCACTATATATATATATATATATATATATATATATATATATATATATATATATAT